GCCGGCCCCTCCCCTGCTGCCGGTCTCCGCCGCCGGGCCGGGCTTGGGGCCCGCGGTGCGTTGCCCGGTGGCCTCGCTGAGAAGGCCCCGTAGGCGCCGGGCCCTGCCCCGGGACACGTGCCGTGCGCTCCACGGAGCTGGGCGCGGAGGCCCCGACCAGGCCCCGCTGGCTCCTGGGCTCCTTTCCCAGATGCCTTGGCCCCAAGGCCGCGCCGACAGTGGGATCTTCGCTGCTGTGAGTCGATGCTCCGAGGAGCTGGCTTTGATCATCCGGTGGGGGGGAGCCACCTCGAAACCCCTCTGTCCCCTTTCCCCAAAACCTTGGTGCCGCTCTGAGCACCCTCAAGGCTGGCTCCTGTGAGTAAATACAGCTGCATGCAGGGCAGGGAGGTGTAGCGTATCTGCTGTGGGGATGTAGCGGTCCCTTAACACTACTACGCCCCTGGACATGTAAAAGCGTTTACAACCGACCCTAATTTCTCAGGCATTTCTAGCTTTCCAAGAGCGTCATGTTGTGGCCTTGTATTGCGTGTTGGCAATTCTGACCGTAGGCTCATCTCTCTTCCTCAAGGTTTGGTCCTACTCTGTTTGACTGGTTTCCATCTGCTTGAAGGCTGAAAGTGCCAGGGATTTGGGCACAAGGGCCGCGGCTGGTGAGAGGGCCTGTTTTAGGGTGCAAGCAGTGAAACAACTTTTTTTTTTCTTTAAAAGGCCTGTCTCTGAATGTAGTAAGTTGCCACCAATAAGACTTGCCCTCTTGTCTTATTTGGAAAAGCTTGGTTTTGGAGTAAGTGGTGGAAACGTGTGCGATGTGAAGTATTTTGTAATTCTGCATTTCCTTGCTTTTAATTTTGGATAGATATCACCTTATCTAGTAGGAGATGTGAGCCAGGTTAGGGGTGGCACAGATGATGCAAGTGGCATGGCCAGCCTGTGGGACATGTGACAGGCAGGGCAGAGCACAGGGAAGGAAGTGGAAGTAGCTGGTCAGGCAGGGAGCACAGGGCTGGGAGCCAAAAGATGGGGCAGGGGGAGAGGATTGGAGTGGCACACCTGCTGTAAGCTGGGTGAACTTGTGACCTCAGATGAAGCTAGAAGGGGGGGGGGGG